CCCCCAGCGCCCCGCCCCTAGCAGCGTTCCCCCCAGGGCCCCGCTCCCCAGCATTGCTCCCCCCCCAGTGTCCCGCCCCCCAGCAGCGCTCGCCAAGCGCCCCGCCCCCTGCCCACCATACCTTGGATGGAGATGAGCACCTGCAGAAGGCTGGATTTGCTCGTCCACCTCTCTGTGCCCTGGAACACGCACACGCACAGCACAGCCCAATCAGCTCCGTCCCAGACGGCCGCCCCCCACCCGCTCCCCTCCCTCCGCAGCCAGCTCCCGGAACCGCTCTCACCTTTCCGGCACCGCTCTCACCTTTCCGATCCAGGTGCCCAGGAGGCTGACGCACACCTTCCCGTTGTCATACAGGTTGGGGTTCAGGCGGCCACTGCACTGGGAGAGGTAGCAGAAGTGGGGGGGCACGGCTGGGTAGATGTTGGGGAGCTGGATGTCAAATAAGTAGAGGCCGTCCTCGTAGGGGGTGCGAGTGGGGCCCTTGATCAGGGCTGAGAAGAGGTCCTACAGGGAGGGAGGGCTGAGGTTGGTGGGGGGCGGGGGCTGATGCACACGGTTCCCGCGTGGCTCCAGACACCACCGGCTACTGAGAAGCGAAAGGCAAATATCTGTGTGCAGACCCACGTGGCATCCTTTAACTCCTGGCATGAACAGAATCATCCACAGTTGTGTTTACGAGGTTTTTTTTTCACCATTAAGTCATTATGACTTCTGTTTTTTAAAATTTTGATTTTTTATTAAAAAGTTTCTTAAATGTTTATTTTTGAGAGAGAGAGAAAGAGATGGAGTGCAAGCCAGGGAGAGGCATACAGAGAGGGAGACACAGAACCTGACGCAGGGCTTGAACTCACAATCCTGAGATCATGACCTGAGCAGAAGTTGGAGGCCTAACCAACTGAATCACCCAGGCGCCCCTTATTTTATTTTTTTAATTTTTACAATGTTTTTAATTTATTTTTGAGAGACAGAGACAGAGTAGGAGCAGGGGAGGGACAGAGAGAGAAGGAGGGAGACACAGAATTGGAAGCAGCTCCAGGCTCCGAGCTGTCAGCACAGAGCATGATGTGGGGCTCGAACCCAAGAACCATGTGAGATCATGACCTGAGTCAAAGTCAGACGTTTAACCAACTGAGCCACCCAGGCACCCCCAGGCAACCCTTATTTTTAAAAATGATTTCAAATGGATACTTTTCTTTCTGCCTTTTTTTTTTTTTAGTTTAGTTTATCTAT